CTGGGCTTAATGAGGTAACAAGTGTCAAGGTCTTAGGCCAGCACCTGGCGTGCGTTTGTTTCCGTGTAAGCCGCGCAGCGCCCTGTCTGCTCTGATGGAGTGTAGGTGAGTGTTCCTTGCCACGCTTCCTTCCATTTCTGGTACCATTGGCCTTTCCCTTTGAGTTCCACTTGAGGCTGGGGTGTTGTATGTTCTGCTTGGTTTGCTGAAAGCTGAGGACAGGTGTTTACAGAGTCAGGGTAGGGAAAGGGCCTGGCTTGGAGACTTGACTCTGTCATTCCTTCTGAAACTTTGTTAGAGATTCTGTTATGGGGTTTACACCATTAGGGCAAAGATTTTCCTCATCGTATTAGTCCGTTTTCATGTTGCTGATAGAGACATACACGAGACTGAGAAGAAAAAGAGGTGTAATTTTACTTACAGTTCCACGTGGCTGGGGAGGCCTCAGAATCATGGCAGGGGTGCGAAATGCGCTTCTTACATAGTGGAGACGAGGGAAAATGAGGAAGCAAAAGTGGAAACCCCTGATAAACCCATCAGCTCTCATGAGACCTGTTCACTATCACGAGGCTAGCACGGGAAAGACCAGCCCCCATGATTCACCTCCCCCGGGTCCCTCCCACAACACGTGGGAATTCTGGGAGATGCAATTCAAGTTGAGATTTGGGTAGGGACACAACCGAACCCTATCCCTAATCCCGTGGAATCCCTGGGTTTGGGGTGAACGCCCAGGCGCTCAGCTTAGAGGCCTGGAAAGTGGACTTCCCGGGGGCGAGCCCCGGCTCCTGCCCAAGGCCTTGGGTGGTCAGCATGGATGTCTTTCTCTCACAGTTTTTCTGTCACTATTCTCTGAGCGCCTCCATCTCAGTGTATTCCTGTCTGGGTTGATTTTCAGTGTTAGTGGATGTGTTTATCTTCCTGTGATAGAGAGAAAGGAGTCAGCTTCCATTCTTAGCTGTCCCAGAATTTTCCGTTTCTCTTCTTGGTTGTCACCTTCTAAAGTGGATGGCCTGAGGTTAGACTCCTTTCTTCTTTTTTTTTTTTTTCTTTTTTTGAGACGAGTCTCATTCTGTCACCCAGGCTGGAGTGCAGTGGCACGATCTTGGCTCACTCCAACCTCCGCCTCCCGTGTTGCGATTCTCCAGTCTTAGCCTCCCGAGTAGCTGGGGTTACAGGCACCCGCCACCACGCCCAGCTAATTTTTGTATTTTTACTAGAGATGGGGGTTTCACCGTGTTGGTCAGGCTGGTCCCAAACTCCTAACCTCATGATCAGCCTGCCTAGGCCTCCCAAAGTGCCGGGATTACAGGCATCGGCCACTGTACCCAGCCTCTTCATTTTTTTAAAGAAATTTTCTGCTGTTAAAATTTTCCCTGGCTTTTGTTGTTGGGAAAGTGCAATTCTCTGGCTGGATTTTATTCTGCCATCTTGACCCAGAAACCTTGTGGTGAGCTTAAAAAGAAAAAAGAAAGAGTGAAAACAAAACAAAACATTCCTTGGCCCCACCCTGGACCTTCTGTTGCAGAGGGTCTGGAATAGGGCCGAGTATTTAATTTTTGAAACCTTCCTGTGGTTCGTCGAATCAGCCAGGTCTAAATCCACCATCCTTATAAAAGGATGTTTATTTTTTCTTTTGCCTTTTTAGTTAGACTACCTGAAAAACAAGTTGAGATTCTCTACCTGAAAACACATCAGATTTCTCAGAAAGACCCCATAAATTGAAAGATTTTTAAAAAGTGGTTTATTTGCTTGTTCGTGTTTTAAATAACATAATACAAATAGGGCAAAAAGTTTGTCCCGAGAGAACAGCAGTGGAAAGTTGGTCTTTTTTTGTAGTAGTGCTTGAGAGAAATATCCTTAGAAATGAAGTTCACTTCTAGATCTCTTTAGCTTTTAGATTTATGCTGGTATTTATAGAGTGAATTATTCATTAGTGCTTTTAAGAAGCACTTTGAATGCCATATACGCCAGCATTGTCAAAGTGATTCCCATTTATCAGAACTCAATGGTCTTTACAGAATATCACCTGCAAGGGATCGAATTTAATCCTGTTTAGGCTTTGACCGATGAAAGAGAACTATAAAGAGTACTGGTTTTGCCAGTATCAGAAGATTCAGATTCAACTGAGGTGTCCTTCAATTAGATATACAATTTACGTGATTTTATGGCTGCTAAGGACTGGAAGGAAGCTAAAAAGAAAACGTGGATTTAACATTGTGAAATAATTTTTATATGAAGTGTGAATTTAGAAGTTGTATTTTCAATTTGTAAGTTACTGGCAACAGAAGAAATGATTAATATTTAAAATCACGCGGTAGTCTGGGCACGGTGGCTGATGCCTATGATTCCAGCACTTTGAGAGGCTGAGATGGGAGGATTGCTTGAGGCTAGGAGTTTGTGACCAGCCTCAGCAACATGACAAGGCTCTGTCTCTACAGACAAAAAATAATAAAAATGAGCTGGGCCTGGGGGTGTGCACCTGTGGTCCTAGCTACTTGGGAGGCTAAGGTGGGAGGATCCCTGGGGCCCAGGAGTTCGAGGCTGCAGTGAGCCATGATCGTTCTACTGCACTCCAGTCCAGGTGACGGAACAAGACCCTGTATCTCAAAAAAAAATTAAAATAAATAAAAATGAATTTTTAAATAAACCATGCACTAAAAGTATTTCGCATGCAGCCACTAGGCTTTTCCGATACTCTGATCTCCCATATGTGCTACTCTCAATATATTTGGAAAATAACCCATTGATTACATAGTCATCTGTTTTGCACACACTTCCCTTTCATTCTTGATCCTTGTGGTGGTGTTTTTACTACATCTGTCTTTTAAGGAGTGGTTGTGATAATAAGCCAACTCAAAGACCTGTACTTTACTTTTGACATAAAATATTTATCTTTTTTGCATTGTTTTTTCTCCAAAGGACTTTCTTTAAGGAAATAATTGCTTTTCCACATTCTTTTGGCTCTAGAATTATTAAACACTGCTACGTATCTGCAGTATCAGCAGAGAAAGCATGTTATAGTTTATATGCTGAAGTATATGCCGACATGATCGCAGTCTTCAATTAAGTACATTTTTCTTTCATCAGTTAGTCTAATTATAATTTTTAAACTGTTATATACATGTTTCCGTTTTTTGAATAATTGCAACAGTTGATGTTCTACTGGATGTTATCTAGTCCCTCAGAATTTCAAAACAAGAAGGACAATAGAGGTCATGTCGTCCAACCCCTGCTGACGTACAGATTAGGAACAGGAAACACAGATTGGCTCATTTGCTGAGATCATGCTGTCCGGGCACATGGTCCCTTCATTCCCAGAGCAGTGCCCTTTGTACTAAAGCCAGGGGCCTTTCCCATCATCCAGTAGCATTTGTTACAGATGAAACCACATGTCATTTGGTATGCAAAAGTACCATGATCAAAACTGTAAATTTGTTATTATACATTTTTCTAGGCACGTTTGTAGATTTGGGGGAAGTAGAAGAAATAGAAGTAAAATGTGAAATAATAAAGAGGAATAGCAACAGGGAATTAACAAGGAAGTGAACACTGAGATGCTGACACATGGAGAGTTCCTACTGTGGATTACTGCTCAACATGCTGTCGCTGTTTCTTGGCCAGGTGCAGTGGCACTTTGGGGGGCCAAGGCAGGCGGATCACCTGAGTTCAGGAGTTCCAGCCTAGCCTCGTCAATATGGTGAAACCCATGTTTGTAGCCCAGCTACAAAAATTAGCTGGGCGTGGTGGTGCATGCCTGTAATCCCAGCTACTTGGGAGTCTAAGACCGGGGAATCACTTGAACCCAGGAGACGGAGGTTGCAGTGAGCCAAGATCACGTCACTGCACTCCAGCCTGGGCAACAGCACTACTCTGTCTCAAAGAAACAAGAAAACATGTTATGGCTGTTTCTCTAACTATGGTCACCTAAAGTCAGGACCCAAGAGAAATTAGTCAGTAGAACCAGGGTTAGTGAGACTTTTTTGTTTTTGGGGTTTTTTTTCCCCCATGATTACCTCTTAGTTTTTGTGTCTTTTTGAGAATATAAAGAAAAATATTTAGATTCTTAACCTGGAGATGAGATTAGGAAGGGAAACTGGATGATTTTGGCTAACCTGAATGTGTTCAATGCAAACCTGCTAGGCAGGGTAAAAGTTTTTCTAGTTAAATGTCTTAGCATCAACACCCCCAAAATACTGTCTCAATTTCCTTCAAATAGACTTCTTCACAGGTCATTTTCATGTGCTCTCTGGTGGAGCAGCCACACAGCCTTAGAAACATGCCCCTGGCACTTTGATTTTTAATTTAAACATTTGGACACAGTTTTCCTTGGATTTGGAGCAGTAACACCCCAACTCAGGATGACCACGAGGGAATGGTGGCCTGATAAGGAAAACACCTCAGTGCTACAAATGAAAGCTATTGCACGACCAAGCGCGGTGGCTCACATCTGTGATCCCAGCACTTTGGGAGGCCGAGGCAGGCAGATCATTTGAGGTCAGGAGTTCAAGACCAGCCTGACCAACATGGTGAAACCCCGTCTCAACTAAAAATACAAAAAAATTAGCCTCGCATGGTGGCATACATCTGTAGTCCCAGCTACTCAGGAGGCTGAGGCAGGAGAATTGCTTGAACCCGAGAGTCAGAGGTTGCAGTGAGCTGAGATCACGCCATTGCACTCCAGCCTGGGCGACAGAGTAAGACTCTATCTCAAAAAAAAAAAGAAAGCCACTGCATATTTACACATGGTCCATCCTCTCCAATTGAATAATTCTGTTCTTATTTACTCTGCCTTTGAGACAAAAGATGAAAAGCAAGTGCCTAATAAAAGGAGCTTCATCATGCTTGTTGAAAGATTGAAGGAAATGGATTTCAGCTGTAGACAGTTTTTTTGTTTGTTTTAAAATGTGTAACAAAAGCACTAATGTCATCTTTCATTCCTGATTTCTTAATTATCTTTCTCTATAAAGCTGACATGTGACATGTCTGCATTTTTATTTTAGGAATCTTTCAAAGAAGTACCAACCTAAAAAGAACTCGAAGGAGGAAGAAGAATACAAGTATGTTTACCACTAAAAATTGTCTGGTAATGCTCACATGCCATTGATGCTGACACACAGAAAGGAGAAATACATGTCTATCAAAATAAGTTGCATTTCCCATTAGTTTTGTGTCAGTTTTTAAATTGGTGGAGAAAACAATAAAAACATAATTAACTTTTCCTGTATGGAGTCACTGGAGCTGTGTCAGATTGTTTCAATTAAAGTAATTAGGAAAACTTTAGAATGTAATTAAGCAAAAACAGGAAGTACGGAATCTGCATTCTGGAGTCTTGATTTGGTTTGGCACTATCCGGAGTACCTGTCATGCTAGTCATTCATCCAAGAAGTATGTCCATTTCAATCAGCAATTAAGGCATCTTAACACTAGACAGCTCAAGTATTGTATCTCTGATGTAGATCTAAATACCCTTTACATTAGTACATATAGCGTGTATATTAATTTTGGATTATATCTGGCCTAAGTATAAACGAAGCCAAATATGACATTACACGGAGCGCTTCAGTTTTGCAAAACGAAAAGTGTTTCAATTGTAATTAATTCTGACCCATTTTGATGAGAACACTGGATGTGTAATGAATACTCAGGATCCTATGGGAGGTGGATGCCAATTAACCTCATTTTAATTAATAGTTCCTTGGTGTAAAGCAGAATAAGAATGAATGTGGCCTTGTATGAAAAGCTGTGGTGTGTGTTCTGTTCCATAGGTATACGTCATGTAAAGCTTTCATTTCCACCCTGAATGAAATGAATGATTATGCTGGGCAGCATGAGGTTATCTCCGAGAACATGGCGTCACAGATCATTGTGGACTTGGCACGCTACGTTCAGGAACTGAAACAGGAGAGGAAATCGGTGAGCAAAACTTTATTCTTTTTCTTCCTACGAGTTGGACCAAATACAGTGGGAATATCCCTAGAAGATTAAAATTAAATAAAACCATGTAAGACGGTGGGTCTTAAACTTCACACCTTTGAGAATCATGTAAAAGTTACGGATCCCGGCCAGGCATGGTGGCTCACGCCTGTAATCCTAGCACTTTGGGAGACTGAGGGCGGATCACGAGGTCAGGAGTTCGACCAGCCTGACCAACATGGTGAAACCCTGACTCTACTAAAAATACAGAAATTAGCTGGGTGTGGTGGCAGTTGCCTATAACCCCAGCTACTGGGGAGGCTGAGGCAGGACAATCACTTGAACCTGGGAGGCGGAGGTTGCAGTGAGTCGAGATGGCGCCATTGGACTCCAGCCTGGGTGACAAGAGCAAAACTCTGTATCAAAAAAAAAAAAAAAAAAAAAAAAAAAAAAATTAATGCTTATAAGTAGGTCAAAAAAAAATGGAAAGATGTCCCCAGTTAAATACCTTCCATTCCTTGGCTCATTCACTGCTGTCTAATGAAGCAGATGTAACTGTTCCTCTTGTCACCATTACTGTTTTTTCATAAACAGGTCTTATTGTTAACCAAAGAGAAGAATGTTTGCTCAAAGTATATTCTTAGCTACAATTTTGCCTTAAGGGACTTATCTTTAAGCTATGGTCTGTATCCTTGTACTTAGATTACGTGTGTAGTACGAATAATTTGTTACTAGTGATAAAGTAACCACTTGGCCAGTGATAAACTTTTTTTTTTTTTTGAGACAGAGTCTGTCTCTGTTGTTCAGGCTGGAGTACAATGGCGCAATCTTGGCTCACTGCAACCTCCACCCCTCAGGTTCAAGTGATTTTCCTGCCTCAACCTCCAAAGTAGCTGGGATTACAGGCATGCACCAGCATACCTGGCTAATTTTTGTATTTTTAGTAGAGTTCTAGTTGGCCAGGCTGGTCTCCAACTCCTGACCTGAGGTGATCCGCCTGCTTTGGCCTCCCAAACTGCTAGGATTACAGACATGAGCCAACAAGATTGCTATGGCTTCTGCTGAAATGGAGGTGATATTCAATAATAATGACAAAGTGATTATTTAATTGCAATTATGGTAGTTGCCACAAAGTAAGAGTACAATGTGCTAAGAGAACATACCATAGGATTCCTGACGTGCTCATGCCCTGGGGTCAGGAAAGGGCTTCTCGGTTAAGGCTACTTAACAAGACTTGAGGGATGAGTAGGACTTGCCTGGGACAAGCATTCAATAGAGAGCAGCCAGGGCCCTGGGGCAGGAAGGCGTTTGAAAACATCTCAATTCAATTCTTTCTAAACTAGAAATGTGTAGCATCTGGCCTTGGATAGGTCTAAAAGTCGGGAAGAGATAAATGCCTTAAGATCAACCCATTGGTTTAAAACAACACTGTGCCGATAAACGGAGATAAATTTTCATCTGTTCACATCAGCGCAGCGGCTCTCAACTAGGGACAGTTTTGCTCCCTACTCCAGCAACACCTGTCAACATCCAGAGTTTGGTTGTCTCAGGGATTGCAGCTCAGGCGCCGCTACTGGTATCTAGAGAATAGAGGCCAGGGAGGCAGCTAAACATCCCGCAATGAATGCCCAGGAGAGCTCCACAACAGAGTGGCCTGGCCCGAAATGTCTCCAGTGCTGAGCGTGAGAAACCCTGCACTGGAGCCCTAAATGAGATGACAACCTCTGCTAGACCATTCATTAATGATTTCTTTAGTGACAGAAGGATGCAGTGAAACAATACCAAGGTTCAGAATGAAGCACAAATATCTAATATAATGATAAAATGAATACAGTCAATCTTAACATGATCTTGGACTGCTTCTCTGGACCCTGAACTTCCCTTGACCTTGCAAAGGTTTATATTTTCTTCCTGTTTGGTTTCTTTTGTCAGTGCTTTGTCTCTCTCTCTCTCTTTTTTTTTTTTTTTTTTTTTTAGAGGGAGTTTCACTGTGTTGCCCAGGCTGGAGTGAATCTCGGCTCACTGCAACCTCTGCCTCTCAGGTTCAAGTGATTCTCCTGTCTCAGCCTCCCGAGTAGCAGGGATTACAGGCACACGCCACCACACCCAGCTAATTTTTTATATTTTTGGTAGAGACGGGGTTTCACCCTGTTGACCAGGCTGGTCTCACACTCCTTCTGACCTCAAATGATCCACCTGCGTCGGCCTCCCAAAGTGCTAGGATTATAAGCGTGAGCCACTGCAACCCCTCATATTCCTTTGCTGCGTTATGACCAAGTTTTTTATGTTTTATTTACTCAGTGTTAATCATGACTTTTTAATAGTCAGTCATATCTGTATTTTGGATTTTGTTCCTTTTGTTAATCCAAAATGATAGTAATTTATGGAATAAATTATAGGAGGTACAGATCCACATTAAATGTCTTGCAATACATAGTGTTCCTTTTATTTTCAGGAGAACTGTGAGTACAGGTTTCTCAGTCAGACGTTCTTTTGGGAGGAGCTGTAAACATCATGCTCTCCTGAAACGTTCTGTAATTAAATCAAAACAACATTTTAGAAAATCATGAAACCTTTTGAAATACTAGAAAGAATATCAGTAAACTAATGTGTGTTATTTGTGTTATCTTATTTTATTTATTTAATTTTTTTGAGACGGAGTCTCACTCTGTTGCCCGGGCTGGAGTGCAGTCGTGCAAACTCAGCTTACTGCAGCCTCTGCCTCCTGGGTTTCAGCAATTCTCCTGCCTCAGCCTCCTGAGTAGCTGGGATTACGAGCACCCCGACATGCCCAGCTAATTTTTGTATTTTTAATAGAGCCGGGGTTTCAGCATGTTGGCTATGCGGGTCTCAAACTCCTGAGCTCAGGTGATCTGCCCACCTTGACCTCGCAAAGTGCTGGGATTACAGCTGTGAGCCACCAAACCTGGCCTGTTTGTGCTATTTTAATATAACGCCTCATGGGCATTTTTTCTTTTTCCTTTTTTCTTTCTTTCTTTTTCTTCTTTTTTTTTTTTTTATGAGACAGAGTCTCATTCTGTTGCCCAGGCTGGAGTGCAATGGTTCGATCATGGCTCACTGAGCCTCAACCTCCTGGACTCAAGTGATCCTCCTTTCTCAGCCTCCCAGGTAGCTGGGACCACAGGCATGTGCCACCATGCTCAGCCAATTTTTACAAATTTTGTAGAGACAAGGTCTTGCTGTGATGCCCAGTCTGGTCTGAAACTCCTGGATTCAGGTGATTCTCTCACCTCAGCCTCCCAAAGTGCTGGGATTATAGGCATAAACCCCCATGCCTGGCCTATCTTTTCTTTTCTCTGCAAAATTGTTTCCATTATTTTGAATGAGTAAATAATGAATTAGCATTATAGTATACTAATCACTGTAATTTAAAAAATTATTCCAGTAATATTGGAGCCAGGTGTGGTGGCTCACACCTATAGTCCCAGACTTTGGGAGGCCAAGTTTTCAGCCTTGTGCTTGTTATAGATTATAGTGGCTAACCTCAATTGCATTTTCACAAGTTAACCTTCGAATTATCCCTGGGGGATGCGGACTGCTAGTTTTCTAGATTTTACCCAAGACAAGGACCCTGGAGCACAGGAAGGTGAAGTGAGCTGGGCGTGTTGCTCCGTGGTGGAGCTGGGTGTCCCACCCAGGCTGCCTCCTGCGTGGGGCAGTGCATGTTTGCATGCATGGCTTTGTTTCCATTGAGTTTTTTTCAACGTACTTTCAAGGATGCTGGAGTAAGCAGTAGGATTATCTTCATCTGCAGCTAGCCTTAGAAAAAGAGCTATTTGGCCAGGCGCAGTGGCTCATGCCTGTAATCCCAGCACTCAGGAGGCTGAGGTGGGCAGATCATTTGAGGTCAAAAGTGCAAGACCAGCCTGGCAACATGATGAAACCCTTCTCTACTAAAAATATGAAAAATATAAAAATATATTTAAAAAAATTAGCTGGGTATGATGGTGCATACCTATAATCCCAGCTACTCGGGAGGCTGAGGTATGAGAATCCCTTGAACCTGGGAGGTGGAGGCTGCAGTGAGCTGACATGGCACCACTGCACTCCAGCCTGGGCGACAGAGTGAGACCCTGTCTCAAAAAAAAAGAAAGAAAAGGAACTATTTAAGACCTTCTCATCATAACCAACATTTCTCCTTTAGAGCTTTTACTTTTGGCTCCCTTGACTTTACTTAGTAAACACCAATTTTTGTAAGGATGACTCTTAACAGTGGAATGCTATCATTTCTGTTTTCTGGTGAGGTTAATTATTGGCGGACGTAGCATAACAGAGTTAGAACTCAAATCCAGGTCTTCTGAGGCCAGATTCAGTTGCCTTCCCACTGGGCTGTGATGCGGGGCTGGCAACATACTTCAGGTCTGTCTTAAAGGATGGGGAAAGGCCATATAAGTTCTGTGTTCACAGAGCAGGAGCCCCTGCTTGGTGGTGGGCAGAGGAGAGGAAGGACACAAGATTTTCAGCCAACAACCCTGCTCAGGATTCCTGGCAGCCCTGCCCTGGGCAGGTTATGGAAACTCTTTGAGCATCCACTTATGCATCCGTAAGCTGAAACTGATCATAGCCATCTAAGGGAGTTGTGGGGACGATTGCGGGAAGACAAATGTGAACCTCATGGCACAATGTTCAGCTATACTGATATATAGGTGCCAAATATGCAATTTCTCTTGCTGTAATCATTCCGTTCCTCAATACAGAATCTCAGTTCCACCCCAGAGCTTCTTGATCAGGGTTTGTTACAGAAAAAGGAGCCTGTTGGCCAGGAGTGGTGGCCCACGCCTGTAATCCCAGGACTTCGCGGGATGCCAAGGCTGGCAGATCACCTGAGATCAGGAGTTCAAGACCAGCCTGGCCAGCATGGCGAAACCCCATCTCTACTAAAACTAAAAAAATTAGCTGGGCGTGGTGGCGGGCACCTGGAATCCTAGCAACTCGGGAGACTTAAGCAGAAGAATCTCTTGAACATGGGAGGCAGAGATTGCAGTGAGCCAAGATTGTGCCACTGTACTCTAGCCTGGGTGACAGAGCAAGACTCCATCTCAATCAATTAATCAGTAAATAAATAAAATGTGGAATTGATTGATGGCATAGGAAACAAGCTGCTTTTAACATTTTAAACCCAGCTACTATTTCTCATGACTGACTAGAAATAATGCCTTACTTAAAGTACCATCCTTAACTATCAGCATAGTACAGATTGGGTCATTTGATACAGTGGCAGGATCCTGGCTGCCCAAAGGGATGATTTAGAATTTATAGGATTACTGCTAATCTCATTACTAGATCTAGAAAGAATGCCCAAGTTCAGTGGAGAATATTGGTTGAAAATTACTTTTTACCTACATTTTGCTGTATTTGAATGGATAAGGGTCAGCATGATGAAAAATGGCTCTCTGTGCAAAGATGATGTTTCCTTCCTTTTTTTGTATGGATTTGAAAGGAAGTAGAAGTAGAGGGGGAAATTGGCATTCTTGCCTTTGTGGCCATACCAGCTGTTTGATCTTTAAGCTTTCAAATCTAACTGTAGGCTGGGCACAGTGGCTTATGCCTGTAATCCCAGCACTTTGGGAGCCCGAGGCAGGCAGATCACCTGAGGTCAGGAGTTTGAGACCAACCTGGCCAACACGGTGATACCTCATCTCTACTAAAAATACAAAAATTGGCTGAGCGTGGTGGCGTGTGCCTGTAATCCTCAGGAGGCTGAGGCAGGAGGATCGCTTGAACCCGGGAGGCAGAGGTTGCAGTGAGCCAAGATTGCGCCACTGCACTCCAGCCTGGGCAACAGAGTGAGACTCTGTCTCAAAAATAAAAACAACAAAAAGCAAAAATGTAACTATAAAATAGGATGACTGCTTTTATTTAAGTGTCTAGGAGAAAAGATGCTTTTTATGCTACACATATACTATATTTTTGTACCGCAACGCAGCACATTTTAATGCTGTGAATAACCGTTGTTTGTCCTGACACACAAATTGGTAGGCTCATTTTGGTGAAAATATGTTGATTTTTTAAAAATACAGATTCAGGCCGGGTGCAGTGGCTCATGCCTGTAAACCCAGCACTTTGGGAGGCTGAGGTGGGCGGATCACAAGGTCAGGAGTTTGAGACCAGTCTGGCCAACATAGTGAAACCTGTCTCTACTAAAATATTAGCTGTGTGTGGTGGTGTGTGCCTGTAATCCCAGCTACTAGGGAAGCTGAGGCAGGAGGATCACGTGAGCTCTCAAGGCCCAGCCCAGGTGACAGTGTGAGACTCCGTCTCAAAGAAAAAACAACAACAAAAAAAAGATTTGGGAGCTGAGGTAGCTCAGGCCAGTTGCCCTGGCACTTGAAGAGGCGAGGCTATGCATTTGAGGCCAGCCTGGGCAACATAAGAACCTCTCATTCATTTAAAAAAAAAAAAAAAATGCAGATTCACAGCCTGGTGCTGTGGCTCACGCCTGTAATCCCAGCACTTTGAGAGGCTGAGGTGGATGGATCACAAGGTCAGGAGTTTGAGACCAGTCTGACCAACGTGGTAAAACCCCATCTCTACTAAAAATACAACAACAACAACAACAAAAACTAGCCAGCCATGGTGGCACACACCTGTAATATCAGCTTCCCAGGAGACTGAGGCAAGAGAATTGCTTGAATCTGGGAGGCAGAGGTTGCAGTGAGCTGAGATCACGCCACTGCGCTTCAGCCTGG